CAGCTTCCTGCAAAGCTGTAACTTGATGTCTGGCTGAGCATGGCACATGTGGCCCCTGATTGCTGCTGGGCCCGGAACCATTTTTAGAGTGTCAGGGTTGGAAGGGCAGAGGGACACACCGCAGGTTCAGGGTGCTTGCCCTTGGCAGTCATACCTAGCCCAGACTGGACCCGGCTGTGATCCACACAGGCACTGAACCTCAGTCAGCTGGGGGACCCCCCCCAGGCCCCCACCCACTGCTATCCCTTGGAGCCTCTGCTGATTGGTCCATCCAGTGAGTCAGCCTGCGTCCAGTTCCTGCAGAAGGGATAGGCCATGATACCTCTGTCCTTGTGTCACCTGCCTGTGCCACAGGGCCAGGGTCCGGCCACACCCCGGCCAGCGTGGGCCGGACCCCCTGACCTGTGCCCAAAGGACAGAACAGGAGTGGCTTCCTGAGGATGTGTCACGGCTGCAGTCATGGGGGTATGTGCTGTGCCTGTGCCCACCCAGACCCATATTGGAGACCCTGGGCCCTGGCCCTTGTTCCCACATCTCTAGGTCCAAGATTAGGAGGGAGAGTGAGCTGGGGAACAGAGCCATGAGACACTCGGGTGGAACTGTGGGCAGACAAGGCCTTGTGATCTCTGAAACCACGCTGAGTTACCTGGGCCATCACATCCCAGGACTGGAGGGTAAACAGGCGGGATCCGGGAGCAGCCGGCCTGCAAGACCACATGTGCCCACAAGAGGGCAGCCGCGTCTCAGGCAGGTTGTCCTCCCACGCGGACACCAGGTCTGGGGGTGGTGTGGAAAGGTGGTGATGCAACCTGCAGGACCGAGGGAGCCCAAGGAACCCCTCCTAGTGGGGAGGCCTTCCTGGAGAGTCTGTGTCCAGCTCCCTGCCGGCCCGTGCCTCTGCGTGACCAGCTCTCTAACCCCATCTGTCTTTTTTTCTGTGTATTTCTGTTTTTGTCTCTTGCCTTCTTGGTCCTGGAGCTATCTCACTCCAACCCTCCGGGTCTCTGGCTGCAGCTGTGTCTTCCTCATTTGCAAGATGGAGACCACGTCTACCCCAAACCCAGGGCAGCTGTTGGTTCTCCTTTGCTTCTTGTGCCCAGGGATTACCTAAAGCCCCGTCCTTCATGAAGACTGACTGCCTCCCCCCCCAATCTCCTATCTTCTCCCATCTGCTGAGAAGCAGAGTCTGGGGCTGGTGGGGGTTGGGCAGGTGTTGCTGGCAGGCTCCTCAGCTCCTCTGAGGACAGCCCTGGGTAGAGGACATCCCGTGCCCTTGACCTCTGGCCTCCCTGGCCTTCCCTGGTCCTCAGCCTCTCTCCCTTCCCTGCCGGCCCTGCTGGGCCCCAGAAATGGCTGTTGGTGGCCCGAGCTGCCAGGATGGGGTGGCACAGGAGAGAGAGGGCTTTGATTCAGTGACCAAGTCTTTGGATACTTCAGTTGGAGGGGCTGAGGACAGGAGGTCTTTGGGCGTCTGTTTCCAGGCAGCCCAAGCTCTGGGGGTAGGATGATGATGTGGGGCCCCATTCACCCCAGTTCATGGCTGCGGCATGGCTGCTACGCAGCCCCTCTGGCCCCTCCCGTGGCCCCTCCCCGGCCCCCTGGTGGTCCCTCCATGGCCCCTGCTGTGGCCCCCCAAACCTCCATGGTCCCCCCATGGTCCCTCAGTGGATGACTCTCCATTGGCCCCTCTCTTCTTCTGAATCTGGGAACCCGGAGACCAGGATGAGCTTTGCTGCTGTCAGAGTCCTGGCTCAGCGCTGCTCCGAGTCCTGTGCTCGGTCTTGGAAGGAGCCTTGCCACTTCCTGCAACTCAGACATGAGCACGAGGGTCACCTCATTAGACTGCAGCCACCATCCCAGAGGAAAGAGCTGGAATGAAGCAGAGTCATGGGTCGTGTGCATGCGCGCTCATCCCAGTACTGTGTACCTTGTACCTGGGGGGTATGCAGGATGTATGTGTGCACGTGAGGAGTGTACTCACGGCTGTGGGTGGATGCATGTACTTGTGTGTATATGAGTGTGTGTGTGTGCACACCCAGAGGTACATACCAAGGGAGCTCTGTGACCAGTCGGTGCTTCCTTGAGGAGACACAGCATCCTTGATGCTCAGCCATGTCCTTGCAGGCAGGAGGTGCCCAGGTCAGCCCTGGAGGGGTGACTGTAGGCAGGAGGTACCCAGGCTGGCCACGGGGGCTGGTCATCTCAGGTGGGAGGTGACCAGGACAGCTCCGAGGGGTCAGGACACGAGGGGGTGCTCAGACCATGCAGGTGGGAGGTGACCAGGACAGCCCCAGGGGGTCATTACAGGCAGGAGGTGCCCAGACCATGCAGGTGGGAGGTGCCCAGGACAGCCCCAGGGAGTCAGTACAGGCAGGAGGTGCCCAGACCATGCAGGTGGGAGGTGACCAGGACAGCCCCGGGGGGCTCACCGCAGGTGGGAGGTGCCCAGGACAGCCCCAGGGGGTCAGTACAGGCAGGAGGTGCCCACGTAGCCATAATGGTGCTGGTTACTGGTCCTTGGGTGATGAGTAAGCTGGCAGCCTCTCAGGCGCTATGCGGTCTCTCCAGATGACTGATACATGACATGGTGTGGCAGTTCCCCTAACCTCTGCCAGTGGGAGGAGGGCACAGGAGCCCCACAGCCAACCAACACAGTTAACTCTGGCGTGGATGGCCCCATGGAAGAGCTCAGAGCTGGGGCAACAGGGAGCTGCCCCATTTCATGTGGGCCCTTGATAAAGTCGTCAAGAAAATTATACATGGCTCTGAAGTGTCATAACTGCCATTACAGCCTGCATCAGAGTTACTGGGTTTAAGTGAACAATTAGCTTACATGTGGCAGCAAGGGCTGGCAGAGGCCCGGCACGAAGCCTCAAGCCCACCTGGAGCTGTGGAGCCGGCATGGTCTCTGTGCGTTTGCAGTTGTTCTCCATAGCCTGTAGGGCAGTAGGACCAGCTGTGACTGACAGAGCAACGCTGGGGCAAGGCAGCTCAAAGTCATACCCGCGGAGGCATCCCAGCTGGCCTCGCTGGAGGCCGTGCACAGGGGTGGAGGGTGGGGGTGGCCCCATCCACGTGTCACCTCCTACACAACAGACGTCCCCTGCACACAAGTTCTCACACGTGTGTTCTCACAGCTCTCACATGGTTCCGTATACTCTCATGCACATGTGCTTTTTTGAAGATGTATTTCTTTCTTTTGAAAGGTAGATTTTTACAGAAAAGAGAGACAGAATCTTCTATCTGCTGGCTCACTCCCCAAATGGCGGCAACAGCCAGAGCTGCGCTGATCCGAAGCCAGGAGCCAGGAGCTTCTTCTGGGTCTCCGACAGTCCTAAGGCTTTAGGCTGTCCTCTACTGCTTTTCCAGGTCACAAGCAGAGAGCTGGATGGGAAGTGGAGTAGCTGGGATTCCAACCAATGCACAAGTGGGATGCTGTTGTGGGCTGAGGAGTTGATCAGTGCTTGTTGGCCTGGCCAGGAATAGGAACCTGGCTTGTGGATAAAAACACCTAGACTAATTGGACTCATCTGTATCCAATATCCTGCTAAATGAGGATGTGGGGGGAAGAGTATAGAAGGAGAGACTTCGCAGAGACTTCCACCATCACTGGTCTCCTGTCGGTGCTTCATCCCCAGACCCTCTCCCTGTCCACATTACTGGCTCTGCTGGTCGGGGCAGGATGCTGGCACCTCAGGCAGAAGATTAGCTTGCTATGTCAAGCTGCTGACCTTGACTCATGCTCATATTCCCACACAAATGCTCCCACCCACACACAGTGCGATCACGTATGTTTCACACTCAGGCATACATTCTCTCACACTCATTATCACATGGGTGAGAACATGACATCTCACACACAAATTCTCACACATCCTTCCACAAACAATTCTCACATACACACACACTTACATACACAGACAGCACAGCACCACAGGCGTGCCCACAGCTGGCCACAGACACACCCCTCATTCTCACAGCATGGACAGAAATACAGGTAATACGTATGCATAGCGTGCCCACACTCATGAGGACGCAGGTACACCCACATACTCACTGTGCACCCAGGGGGCCTGCCTGCGCCCACCACCCTCTTCTCCCGTGGTGCCTACTGGCACCGCTCTCCAATACTGCCCCTGGCACCCAGGGTCTGTCCTTGGGGCACCTGGTTCTGCTGACCCTCCCCCCCAAGTCCAGGTGTCTGTGCCTCTGTGAGTTCCAGATTGTGTCCCTCCCAGGGACTTGGGAAAAGAGCAGGGCCAGGCTCTGTGCCCTTCCTCCCAGCGTGGGTCACTGTGTCCTGGGGGTCGGCTGAGGGCAGGTGGTGGGGTGATACAGTGGGAAGGAGGGACATGGGGGGGGCACTCCAATCTCATCCCTGCCCCAGCGAGGAGGACTTCCGGTTCCAGCACCTCCTCCCTTGCCCAGGTGCATCCCATGGCCCCTGGCGGAACCAGCTCTAACCTTGCAGCACTCTCCACCCCTGGGAGAAGTTGGGGCTCACAAGTACTGCAGGGGTCGCGGTAGCTGCGGGAAAGTGAACTCTGCTCTACGGCCCCTTGCCGATGCCCTTGGCCCGGACCCTGCCCTGCCGCGCCCTTCGGGTCAGAGGTGAGACGGACCAGGCCGGAGGACAGGAAGCGGAACCAGCAGGGCTCCAGCGGTGAGGGAGATGGAGAAGGACCAGGCAGAACCGGGCGGGGCCCGCCGGACGGGGGCGGGGCGGACCGGGCGCGGGGACGGCGCGCAGCCGGGTGGAGGCCGCGTCACTGCGCACCGGCGCGGCGGTCGCGGGGCGGGCAGGAGCGGGTGCAGCCCGGTGCACCCGGCGCCCCGCTCCCGGCCGCGCCCTCCGCCGGCGATGCCCGCCGGCTCCCGCAGCCCGGGGCAGCCCTTGCGCACGGGGACGCGGGGCGCGCGCGGCGGTGCTGAAGGGACAGCGCCCTGCGCGCGCTGGTGGCGCGCGGTCCCCAGGCGGCGGGCCGGGCCCCTGGGGATGCCCTGCGCCCATGGCGGTGGCTAGGCGGATCCAAACTTTGCTGGCCGTGAACATTCTGGTCTTCGTGGGCATCGTGCTGTTCTCTGCCTACTGCCGGCTGCAGGACCGCGCTGGGCGGCGGGCACAGCTCGTGCGCGGCTCCGACCGCAGGGCGCGCAGCCGGCTTGCCGGGGCCGGCGCGGGCACCGACCGCGAGGCCATCCTGCGGCGCCTGGGCCACCTGGAGGAGGTGGTCTACAATCAGCTCAATGGTGAGAGTACAGCCGGATGTGCGGGGAGGGGCAGGGCTGAAGGATGCCTTTGCGCCCCCCCCCCGCGGGCACTGGGCGGGCACTGGGCCCTTGCTTCCCCCCGCCCCCCGCGGCTCTCTGATTTCCTTCACTCAAGGAATACTGGAGAGGGGCTGCTACCTGAGCTGCAGCCCTCAGAGATTCCAACTTAATCCCCAGAGAACTTAAGAAAACTTCTGAGGAAGTCCCCGAGGCCTGCTTGGAGAGCAGCCAAGGCGCTCTGGAAGCTGGGCTTGCTTGGCCTCCAGCGGTGCTGTGACCCCCTGACCCCAGGCAAGGACAGCTGCCCAGCTGTTGTGGCAGAAGTGTGGCGGCCTGGGAAGCGTGGGAAGATGGGCTCTGGCTTTCAGTAGGGCTTGGCAGGTAGTAGATGCCTGCGTGGACACAGGTCCTGGGGTGATGTGGGTGACCCCCCAGGGTCCCTCAGGCCCGGAAGCACTGCTGGTGGGAGCAGCAGAAGGGGTCAAGGCTGACCCTCTCTCTGCTCGGGGTTTGGGGGTCCTGCTGCTGGACTGGCGGCCTCAGCGAGTGCCCTCCATGAGGTGGCAGGAGCAGGCTTCAGCAGGTTTGTGTGCTGTTTGGTTTAAAGGTGGGCAGGGTTCCAGCTGGCGTCCCGCGTGTCTGAGGCCCCCTCCGTCTTGGGGCAGAGCAGAGCTGGAATCCTCACGAGCTGTCCCTGGCGCTGACCCTCCCACCCAGCCGAGGCTGAGGCTGCAAGAAGTTTTGCTGAGGCACGAGACCCAGCCAGCAGCTCAGCTCCTGTGAACTGCACCTGCGGGTGGGCACTGTGGTCTGTTTCCTGGGGAGAGCCGGAGGGTTACATAAAACTTGGGCAGTACTTGGGTTGTGTAACGCTGCGCCGGCCAGCTCAGCCAGGGCCACCCCCTCTCCTTGCCTTCAAGGTGAGAAGCAGGCAGGGATCTTGGAGGTGAAGCCAGGCGCTTCCACAGGGAGCTCGCCAAGTGGGGGGAGTGTCCTTGCCTTAGCCTCTCCCTGTCCCTCCTCCCTTTTCTCCAAGCTGAGGCCCCTCCCCCGCCCCCTCCTTGCTGGTCTCCTCTGTCACTCTCTGGTTTTTCTGTCGCTTTGGAAACACTCCCGGCCCCTCCCATCCGGTTGCAGGTGCAGGGAGCCCGGAGTTCTTCCTAGGGGAAGCCGCCTGCCTGCTCTTTCTCTCTTAGGCCCAGGTTGCCACCCGCCACTCATGGCCCGACACTTCCTGCCCTGACGGCCTCCTGGTGCCTCCCTCTGTCCCCTGCACCCCCTCCACCACTGGTCCTGCCACCTTCACGGGGGTCATCTTGTTGACCTTGTCCAAGTGGGCCATGCACTTTTGAATTCAGAGAACCCACTGGGAACACTGCGTCAGGAGACATGTGTGTAGGGGTCTGCCGGACCGCTGGACAGCTGAACCGCTGGACTCTGTCCTCAGGCAGAAACCCTCTTGGGCATATATTAAATTGTGTGTGGGATGGCATTGGGGGCTGTGTGCTCACAGCTGGCACAGAAGTCCTGTGAGCTCCAGGCTCTGTAAAGGAGATGGTGCCAGTCGCCCTGCTGCCAGGAGGGAGACACTGGCAGGTGCCCAGCCCTGTGGGGTCTGGCGTTGTTGGTGCTCGCAGGATGAGCAGGAGACAGCGGGGGTGGGAGCTGGCTCCCAGGGCAGCAAACACTGCTTCTCTCTTGCTCTACCCCACCTTGAAAAGCCACGGCCTGCCGCATCAGTGGCCTGCGCCCGTCCTCTGGATTTTCTGTCAGATATCCCCTCTGCCCTGCTGCCCTGGCTGTTCTATGCCAGTGACCCCTGCCCTGTGACCCCTGCCCTGTGGCCCGGGGACAGTGTTTGTTTCTCTGTTCCACCCAAGGCCTGTGGTTGCCATGTGCTCACACTGCCAACTTCTTTTTTTCTGAAATAAACGTGTTTTAGATCCGGCTAGCCAGGCTGAGTGGAAGGAACGGAGGCAGGCAGGCATGAAGAGGGGACTGGCCTGGTGGTTGCAGCTACAAAACAACGCTGGCCTAGCTGAGGCCTCCCACTGGATCACAGTGGCCCTTAGCAAGGCTGAGCGCCCATGGTTCCCCAAGGTGAGGAAGGTGCAGGCGGCCAGTGAGTCTCGTTTACGCTCGGCACAGCGGCTGTCTGCTGAAGTGAGTGCTCAGGGCACTAGGAGCTGCAAGGGGCACCTCTGAGGAGAGCGTGGGGACATGGCCCAGGAAGGGGCGTCCACTCCTCTGAAATCCCGTAGCTGGCTGTTTCCCTGGAAGGTCGAGTATCTGAGTATCTGCTGTGATTGAAAATTCCACAAAGACAAGGCTTTGTCTGGTTCCAAGTCTACCCTGCAGATGCATAGACAAAGCCACCTGGTTGACCCGCAGGATCCGGAGTGGGGGGAACACCAGACTTTGACGCCATGGGTTGTCCCTCAGGAGACTGCCTGCTGTCCATGTGGGTTGCGGGGAGGGGCCGGAGGTCCTAGGTGGGCCTCAGCACAGAGCTGACCATGGGGCTGCGTGAGGACCCGCCCTGCCTTGCCTCCTCCAGGAAGTACCCAGGATTGCACTCCCACCTCAGGTCTTGCAGTCCCTGGGGCAACCCTTAACTGTCACTACACTTCCTTTTGTCCCTCCTGTGTCTCTGACAAGACTGAGGAAGCTGCTCTCAGCCAGGGTCAGCTCGTGGAGGGCACATGAGGATTAGGAAGGGCTGGCGAGGTGATGGGGCTGTGAGTGTGGACAGGGTCAGAAAGGGTTTAGGGTGGATTGAGGGGTTTCTAGGGAAGAGCTCTTATTTATTTTTAAAATGTTATTTGAAGAAGCCCAGGGTGATGGCCTAATGGCTGACCCTGGCTCCCTCTGGGCATGCGTGAGCGTGGGTTGGTGAGGCTCTGAGCTTTGCAGTGTGAGCTCTGCACTTGTTTGTAGTTGAGGTTTCCCACTGGGTGGGGGTGCACTTATTTATTTTTGTTTGAAAGCTAGGTTGTATAAAGAGAAGAGAGACAGAGAGATCTTCATGCTACTGGTTCACTCTCCAAATTGAGCGGAGCTGAGCTGATCTGAAGTCAGGAGCCAGGAGTTGCTTCCAGGTCTCTCATGTGGGGGCAGGGTCCCAAGGCTTTGAGCTTTTTCACTGCTTTCCCAGGCTATGGGCAGGGGCTGAAGGAGAAGTGGAGCAGCCTGGGCACAAACTTTCACCCATATAGGATGCTGGTGCTTGCGGGTGGAAGGTTAGCTTGTTGAGCCACTGTGCTGGCCCCTAATTTTTTTTTTTAAGATTTATTTATTTTTATTGGAAAGGCAGATTTACAGAGAGGAAGATCTTCCATCCGATGATTCACTCCCCAAGTGACCGTAACGGCTGCGTCGATCCGGAGCCGGGAGCCAGGAGCTTCTTCCGGGTCTCCCATGTGGGTGCAGACTCCCAAGGCTTTGGGCCATCCTTGACTGCTTTTCCAGGCAGGCCACAAGCAGGGAGCTGGAAGGGAAGCAGGGACTCTAGGATTAGAACTGGTGCTCATATGGGATCCTGGCGCATTCAAGGAGACTTTAGCCACTAGGCCATGGCACCAGGCCCATGGCCCCTAATTTTTTTAAGGTAACTGTTTTAAACTTATTAATACTTCGAACTGTATTGGTGTTCTAGAAAACTGCACAGAAGGCTCAGCCTTCCCCACCAGAGCCCACTAGACCCCCATGCCTGTGCAGTCCATTCTTATTTAAAATGCTGATACTCTGGCCCAGCACGACAGCCTAGCAGCCAAAGTTCTCAGCTTGCACGCATCAGGATCCCATATGGGTGCTGGTTCTAATCCCAGATGCCCAATTCCCAACAAGCTCCCTGCTTGTGGCCTGGAAAAGCAGTTGAGGACGGCCCAAAGCCTTGGGACCTGCACCTGCGAGGGAGACCAAGAGGGCCTGGGCTTCTGGCTTCAGATCTGCTCAGTTCCAGCTGTTGTGGCCACTTGGGGAGTGAGTCAGTGGACGGAAGATCTTCCTCTCTGTCTCTCCTCCTCTCTGTATATCTGACTTTCTAATAAAAATAAGATAAATCTTTAAAATAAAATGTTGATACTCTGCCCATGATACAATATTTATTCTAGGATGCTGTAAGGTATCTGGTGGGCTTATTAGTATTCCATTAGATTTGTTTCAGCGTGTCTCTCAGTGGCACACTATGTTATTGTGAGGTATTTGTGTTGGTAGGTTTCTTAGTATTGTGTCAGGACTTTGTTTTTATTGATCAGAGAGCTTTCTTGGGTGATTGTTTATAAATCATCTGACCTGGGGAGTACAGTCTGCTGCCTGGATGAGAGCGAAGTCTGGGCTGTGGTCAGGAGGCTGCCGTCGCTGCTGAGGGGCAGACCTGGTGCCACTCCCCACCTGTGGCCAGAAAGCAACTGATGAGAAGGTGTCACCGGAGGTGTCCCCTGGTCATCGTGGAGATGTATGGGCCCCTGGCTGTGATGTGAATGCCTGGTGCTGTGGAAGCCACTGACCTACGCCAGGGAGCGTGCCTGGGCAGCAGGGACAAGTGCAGTCGGAGCCCTGGGAGTCCAGAGGGAGTTTGATGGTGGTGACAGGAGCAGTTGCTGGAAGGAGAGGCTGGCAGGACAGCAGGACAGCGTGGACAGGCTCAGCCCACTGCTCCTGGAAGGAGGACCAAGGTCTGAACACCAACTCAGCAACATGAGAGTCGGGCAGAGATGGCAAGGGTGCGGAACATGGACGTTGGCTCATGTGGCTGCTCCTTCAAGGGACTGTGCTGAGTCAGCTGCCGAGTAAGCACCGTTAGTGTTGGGGTAAATGGTGCTTTGTTGTGGAGACTGTTGATGTGGTGCAGGCTGTGGGGCGTGCAGTGTGACTGTGGGCTGTGTGCTATGTGGACATGTTTGTTTCCAAGTGTGAGCCCTCCCCCACTGTGAGGCCGCTCCCCAGCCTGTTTCCTTGTGTATCCCCTGTATCTACACTGTTACTGAAGTGGCCAGGAGGTGCCTGGCTCAGGAGAGGGCTGTCTGCTCCTTTGGCTCCTGGTCTGTGTGCAGCCCTGCTGGAGCCAAGGCCAGTGTGTGAGGGAGCTTGTGTGGGGTGTCTGCAGGCCCCTTCCTGCTCTCTGCTGGCCGAGGTCCCGGATGCGCAGTGCCCTCTCTGGGTACAGGCTGCCTTAGTGTTCCAGGTCCACCTGATGCTCCATCTCCTCTTTGAGCAGTGCCTTCCCCCAGGCTGCACGACCTCCCCAGGGCCACTTCCTCACAACCGTCTTGTGCCCAGGCTGCCTCTCCATGTGGGCTGCTTCCTCTCACACAGATGTGGCTATGACAGATGGAGCTCTGACTCAGAGACCATTTCCTCCGAGTGAGAAGTCTCAGCCACCCGCATGTCCTGCGCTGCGTGCTGGCAGCAGCAAGCTGGCCTGCAGGGCTGCCGCCCAGTGCACAGCCAGATGCACTGCTCCTGGGGAAAGGCAGCCTGTTCCTTCTCTCACTTGGGGGGCTTTTGGCAGAGCATTCCGACCAGGCCTTGGGCGCAAGCTTGAGATCCAGAGGGTGACACTCATCCCTGGACAGCCCAGCCCCAGGACAGGTGTAGAGCCAGATGGCTGGGACCCACGTGGGACAGAGTGCCTGGTTGGACATTCTGGCTGTATTTCCTGCTGGCGCACACCCTAGGACTTGAGTCCCACATGGGAGATCCAGGTGGAGGCCCCAGCTCCTGGCTTCTGCCTGATCCAACCCTGACATCCTCAAGCATTAGGGAATCAGCAGATCTGTCTGTCTACATGACTTTCAAATAAGTAGGGGCCAGCACTGTGGTTTGATGAGCTAATTCTCTGACTGCAATGCTGGCATCCCATATGAGCGCTGGTTCATGTTCCTGCTGCTCCACTTCCCATCCAGCTCCCTGATTGTGGCCTGGGAAAGCAATGGAAAATGGCCCAAAACCTTGGGACCCTGCACTCACGTGGGAGACCTAGAGAAGGTTCCTGGCTCCTGGATCCGGATTGGCTCTGCTCTGGTTGTTTCAACCATCTAGGGAGTGAACCAGCAGATAGGGAATATTTTTCTCTTTTTCTCTTTCTCTATGGAAATCTGCCTTTCAAATGAAAATGAAATTATATCTTAAAAAATAAAAAGAAGTAAAGAATTTTTTTAAACAAATGCCCAGCCCTTTTTGAACTTCAACTCCTTCTGTCCTGGTAGCTGAACTCTGATCTCATGGTCATAGGATGGCTGCCCCTGCTCTGTGCATCAACAGCTAGTTCCACACTCTTCCTCATGTCGGGGTCTCCAGGCTGGCATCCCCGAGTGAGGTGCAGGTGTCGGTGAGCCACAGCTGTGCCCCGAGTCGGCAGATGCACTGCTGGTCTGCAGGGTGTTGTCTTGGTCTATTCTGAGCTTTGTGGGAGCACAGAGGTGCAGCTGATCTTCCCTGGAGCCATGGACGTGTCCACTGCTGGGTCCATATGGTGACAGGTGGGTGGCCCCGGATCCTAGCAGCCTGAGCAAGTCCATGGATAGAACCCCTATTCCTGAAGCCAGGGACGCTGAGGGGATGAGGTTCCCACCCTGGAGTGTTACTGGCCTCTCCTGGTCCCTCTAACCCCTCACTGGGATGTTTTGAGGTCAGTTGGCACTCAGCCTCCAGCAGGCTGTTCTGTCCAGGCAGTGATCAGGGTAGCAGTAGTGGCAGAGCGCCCGGAATAGGGGCAGTGTAGGGCAGCGGGACACACCTGTTGTGAGAATGACTCAGCATCTGGGCTGTGTGACTCATGGTGGCCAAAGCTGGCCCTGGGGCTCAGGGACACAGCCCACTGGCCTGGACATCCCCAGCGAGCTCTGATCTTAAGTTGTCTGTGGTTTCACCTTTTGCAGGATGTATCGTCCCAGGTGGTTGCTAGGGACAGAGAATGCCACAGGCAAGCATTCGGGGGTAGGCCCTGACCTCTGCTAACTTCCCTCGTTTCCTGTCTCCCAACAGGCCTTGCGAAGCCCATTGGTCTGGTGGAGGGTCCTGGCGGGCTGGGCCAGGGGGGCGTGGCTGCCACGCTGCGCACTGACAGCCAGGAAGCAGATGTCAAGTACGAGGAGTTTGGGTACAACGCTCAGCTCAGTGACCGCATCTCCTTGGACAGGACCATCCCTGACTACAGGCCCAAAAAGTGAGTGTGCCTGGCCCAGGGTCTTGGCAAACCATGGCGCTGGAGGACATGCAGAAGCTCACCATGGGGAGTTGCGTGGGCTCCAGGGCCACCGTGGACTGGCTGGAGCCTCTGCCGGTTGGTCTCCCTCTCTGGTGCTATCCACCACAAGTCTTTCCTCTAGGTGTCAGCTAAGGGACGAAGCCCTGTATTTAAATGTTCAGAGAGGCTGAGTCCCACGGTGCCCAGCTTGCAGCTGTTCACATCAGCACTAGCCCAAGTCTGACGCCCTGCTGGGCATCGACATCTGCATAGTGGCCATGGACTTTGTTAAGAATGAGTCTGGCCACGTCTCAGAGGTTGATGTCATTTCCTTCAGGAGTCAGGAGACCTCAAGTCCCTCTGCCCACAGCCGGGGTGATAGGAAGCAGCAGCTGGCCCTGTCTGTGATCACTCAGCCTGAGTTGTTGGTCCACAGGCTCATCAGGGAGTCTGCATTGATAGACTTGAACAAATGTGTGTGAGTGTGAGCTTGTGGGTGAGTGTGAGCTTGTGGGTGAGTGTAGTGTGAGTGTGAGCTTGTGGGTGAGTGTGAGCTTGCGGGTGAGTGTAGTGTGAGTGTGAGCTTGTGGGTGAGTGTGTATGTGTGTGAGCTTGTGGGTGAGTGTGAATGTGTGAGTGAGCTTGCGGGTGAGTGTAGTGTGAGCTTGCAGGTGAGTGAGCTTGTGGGTGAGTGTGAGTGTGAACTTGCAGGTGAGTGTAGTGTGAGTGTGAGCTTGTGGGTAAGTGTGAATGTGTGAGCTTGTGGGTGAGTGTAGTGTGAGTGTGAGCTTGTGGGTGAGTGTGTGTGTGAGCTTGCGGGTGAGTGTGAGTGTGAACTTGCTGGTGAGTGTAGTGTGAGTGTGAGCTTGCGGGTGAGTGTGAGCTTATGGGTGAGTGTGAGTGTGAACTTGCTGGTGAGTGTAGTGTGTGTGTGAGCTTGTGGGTAAGTATGAATGTGTGAGCTTGTGGGTGAGTGTAGTGTGAGTGTGAGCTTGTGGGTGAGTGTGTGTGTGAGCTTGCGGGTGAGTGTGAGTGTGAACTTGCTGGTGAGTGTAGTGTGAGTGTGAGCTTGTGGGTGAGTGTGAGCTTGCGGGTGAGTGTGAGTGTGAACTTGCTGGTGAGTGTAGTGTGTGTGTGAGCTTGTGGGTAAGTATGAATGTGTGAGCTTGTGGGTGAGTGTAGTGTGTGAGTGTGAGCTTGCGGGTGAGTGTGAGTGTGAGCTTGTGGGTGAGTGTAGTGTGAGTGTGAGCTTGCGGGTGAGTGTGAGTGTGTGGTTGCCACAGGACAGATGTGAGCGCAGAGGGGAGTCCCAGTTCTGGGTGGTTTGTGGGAGCCCCTCTTCTGGGAGTGTGCTGAGAGCCTCTGGTTCTGGGTCTCATGCTGTGCCTTGCTCACTTGTGGCTCCTGGGGACAGTGAGCCTCCCTGGCTCGAGGTGTCTCTTGGGGCCATTGGGGCTGCAGGGACAGCTGCCCTGACAGGGCGTGGAGCAGACTGCCTCCAGGGGTTCCCACCAGTCCCATACCAAGTCCCTCTGAATCTTGCTCAGCACCGCCTCCCCTTGGCACCAGCGTGGTGGAACGCAGCTCATTCTTTGCTCCAGTGGCACTTGGTAGATGTTCCTGAGGCTCAGGTTCTAGATATCGCTGGCCTCCAAATGGACATAGCCACCCTTGGTACGTGGCTTGACCTGTGTGTGGACACAGCCCCCCCCCCGGGGGCATGGCCCTGGAGCCTGAGCCACAAGGGGGAAGCCCAGCAGGGCCCCGTTTCCCCACTCTCATCCTCCCTTGTTCCCTTCTTTGTCTTCCCCAGGAGACAGAGAATGCCTGCCTTGCCTGTGTCCTGACACAGATGTCTGTACCACTGCAGGTGGAGGTGGAAGGTTGTTCTCGAGTCTTGTGTTGTATGACTATTTGTGGGCGTGTGTTTGCAGTGACAGCAACTGCAGTCACAGGTATATGTGTTTCACCGACACCAGAAACACCTTTGTGCAGACTAACAAACCATGAATAAAGAAAAGGATTCTTGGAAGCTTGAATTTCTCAGACTATAAAAATCTCCAGCTGCAGTTTTCCTTAAAGGAGTGATCCTTAACAGATTAGAGAAGATGGCTCTCAAAGAGAGAATTTGTTATTAAGAAAATTTCAAAAATATTCCCATTGTGCCCCAGGGTTGCCGTGGGCAAAGTTCATTTTCCTGGGCCAAGAGGCTGCCTTCTATCAGCTATCGGCATCAGGACCGGCCTCCGATGAAGGCCCCGTTTCCTTACTGAGAGCTGCCCGTGGGGAGGACCGTGGTCAGGAGCTGCTGGGAGGGAGGCCGTGTGAGACTGAGGGTGTGGGACACATCGCAGAGTCCTGCTGGAAGTCAGCTTGAGCCTTGGGTGAGCAGTCTGGCACCGTCGTGTTGTGTCGATGTAGCCGTGCCGCATCTTTAGGCGGCCATGCTGAAAGGTGACGTGGCAGGAGGGCAGAGTGTCCATGTCCCCTGTATGCACACTGAGCCTTCCAGAGCCATGCAGCATGAGGTCGGCTATAGATGGGAGGACAGGAGGCACTGGGCAGGCTGGCACCTGTCTGCCCCGCAGTGAGCGGCCACGGATGATGGCCTGCCTCGGGCCTGTGGCTTGGCTCCTGGATACTTTTCCCAGGGTGACAGACTGGACAGCCCAGGCGTCTCACTCTGGGGCTCCTGGCAGCTGGGATTGGCTGCTGTTGCCGTGGGGGGAGGGGGCAGAGTGTGCATCCTCCAGCAAAATGGGCCAGTGGCCTTTGACTGACTCTGAGACGGATGCCCCAGCTGTGGTGAGGGCGCTCCTTGGCAGCCACTCGGTGCGGGGATCTCGATACAGGAGAGGGTGCACATGAGTGGAGCAGGTGTCCTAGGGGCCTCACGCCACAGGCTACCAGCCACCGCGTGGCAGATGGGGCAGCCCTGGCCTCCCTCAGAGCCTTCTCCTTCCGACCTGTCCTGTTGACAGCCGTGAACTGCTCTGGCGAGAGCTGATGCCCGCCCCACCTCTCTCCTTCGCTGACTTAGTTGGCACAGTGGCCGGCTTCTTCCTGCCCTTCCCCTGCTCACAGCCCTCACTTGTCCCACTCTAACTGGTATTCACTTCTCTCCCACTTTACCCGCCTCTGCCCTGTGCTGCACGTGACCTGGTTAACCACCTCACTTACCACTGTCCCACTTTCTCTGGTTATTTCTGTCACTTTCCTTTTCATTTTCTGTCTCTGACCGTTTCCCTGAGTTGCACCCTTGTACCCTTGAAAATTCATGTAGTTTTGGTCTTTCATCCTTCTCACACCTTCTTCTTCTTTTTTTTTTTTAACTTATTTTATTTTGGGCCCAGCACGGTGGCCTAGCAGCTAAAGTCCTTGCCTTAAACGTACTGGGATCCCATATAGGCACCGGTTCTAATCCCAGCAGCTCCACTTCCCATCCAGCTCCCTGCTTGTGGCCTGGGAAAGCAGTTGAGGATGGTCCAAAGCCTTGGGACCCTGAACCCGTGTGGGAGACCTGGAGGAAGTTCCTGGCTCCTGGCTCAGCACTGGCTCAGCACCGGCCATTGCGCTCACTTGGGGAGTGAATCATCGGACAGAAGATCTTCCTCTCTGTCTCACCTGTTCTCTGTATATCTGACTTTGCAATAAAAATAAAATAAATCTTTTTTTAAAAGTAAAATAAATCTGTATATCTGATTTTGTAATAAAAATAAGATTGATTTTATTTTTATTGCAAAGTCAGATATGCAGAGAGGAGGACACTCCCCAAGTGACCACAATGACCGGTGCTGCACTGATCCGAAGCCAGGAGCCAGGAGCCTCTTCTGAGTCTCCCACGTGGGTGCAGGGTCCCAGGGCTTTGGGCCGTCTCCACTGCTTTCCCAGGCCACAAGCAGGGAACAGGAATAGAAGTGGAGCAGCCGAGACACAAACCAGTGCCCACATGGTATCCGGCTCTAGGAGGTAGAGGATTAGCCAGTTGAGCTATAGTACCAGGTCCTCCTCACACTTTCTCTGGCCACCGTCTGGATCCTGTGGCCCAGTGCTCGTTGCTGCTGCCTTACCCTTCCCTCTCACTGGGCATAGCCCCTCTGGGCCCTCACTGACCACTGTGCCTCTGGCAGGTGCAAGCAGATAACCTACTCTGAAGAGCTGCCCCAGGTCTCCGTGGTCTTCATCTTTGTCAACGAGGCCCTCTCGGTCATCCTGCGTTCCGTCCACAGCGTGGTCAACCACACCCCCTCTCAACTCCTCAAAGAGGTCATCTTGGTGGATGACAACAGTGACAATGGTGAGTTGACATCACCTGCGGCCTAGACGGACACTGGGCAGTGGGTGAGTACCACCTGCGGGCTGGACGCGCGCTGGGCGGCAGGTCGGACAGGAGCTGGGGTGAAGAACTTCAGCCTGTGGTGGTCCAGGGCTGCACTCCCCTGGCGCCCACTCTGCTATGTCCTCATCACCCACCTCTGCCTGTCTCAGCGTAGGGCCTAGGCCGTGCGCCTCCTGCTGATAAGGACGCTGCCACTTGGTTTAAGGCTTGCTCTAAATCCAAGCCTCATCTCCTCAGCCCACAGTCTGCCACTTCTCACAAGGCCCTGGTCTACATGTCCAGGTACCCTGAAATGTCGGGTCCTCTGTGGGAGCGGAGTCCTTCTCCTCCTCAGTACGGGGAGCTTTGTGGGAGGTGAGGAGGTGAGCCTGGCCGGGGCCCCGGGTTAGATCTTGCCTCCCTCACCAGCCTTGGGGGGTCTATAAGGAAGGGCTCACGGGGTTGGCGGCAGCAGGAGCCTCCAGGGTTCTCATGCCAGCCTCCTGCACTGAGGGCTTGGGGTGCGTGGGAAATGTGTGGCATCTGTTTGGGGCGGGGAGCTGTTGTGCTGTGGGTCTCAGTGGCCTGGAGCAGGGCCGGACAGGGACACAGGGCTGTTGGGTGCGGCTGGCGCCCTCAGCGGACTGGGCAACCACATTGCTTCAGCAGTCCCTAGTATCAGGAGCCAGGCCTGGATATCTGGCCCCGCCTTCGGGGCCCACCTCTCCTCTGAAAGAGGGGCTCCGAATGTGGAAGGACCTCCCCAGGAAGCCCGGACAGCCCTGACTTGGACCCAAGGCTGGGCTGTCCTCAGCCAGTGTCCCACATGTGTCCCTGGGAGTCCCCTGGGCACAGCCTATCTGAGCATCCTGTCCTCAGTGAGTGGGACCGCTCGGTCAGTGGCCTGTGGCTGGCTCTGGTATGCACCACCCCAGTTCCTGTCGGTGTGTGGTTCCTGGTCTCAGCAGGGTGGCAGCTGTCCCTCCTCGCTGATGCACAGTGTGCTGCTGATGCTGCTGTGTGACCCGCTGCCAGCCACACCCAGCACCCCCATCTCCCGCCCCGTCAGACACCACCCCACCCTTCCCTGTAGTCCCTGCCCGCCTGGGTTTGACAGGGGCCTGGTGTGAGTGGGCCCCGGGATCTGGGCTGTCTGCGTGGGTGATGTCCTCCAGGTGCCTGTGCAGGGTTGGAGTCCCGGCCTTCTCTGGGCTGAGCAGTGTCCCGTTATGTGGAAGGACCCCATGTGTTTCCCCACACATCCACTGTGGGTTGGGTCCAACCCTGCCATGCCCTCCTGGCTCCACCTGGGCTTCTCTCACCCGCTTGCTTGTCCACTCCGTGTCCATCGCATCTCCGCTTTCCTGGAGTGGGGTGTGGCTTCTGTGGTCTCCTCTCAGCACTGCATTCCCCCCTGTGGGTCTTCAGTTACACTGGGAAGCCCTGGCCCAGAGCCGAGGCCTGGAACGTTCCAACTGTGCGTTTTGGGGTCTCGGGCCCTACCTTGTGAGTGACACACCACCACGTATCTCCCTAGCGGAACTCAAATTCAACCTGGACCAGTACGTCCACAGGAGATACCCAGGCCTGGTGAAGATTGTCCGTAATAGCCGACGAGAAGGCCTCATCCGGGCACGACTGCAGGGCTGGAAGGTGGCTACAGCACCCGTCGTTGGCTTCTTTGATGCTCACGTTGAGTTCAATACGGGCTGGTAAGGGCTGGGTCTCTCCCTGACTCGTGCAGCCCACCTAGGTTGGGAGTCCGCCATATCCTGCCTTATGTCCGTCTTTTCCATGGTCCCAGTGCTGAACACAAAGGGACAGGGGCAGTCCCTAAGCACATCGCTGGAGGGGACGTGGCTCAGGGCCCATGGTCCTGGTCTTAGCATCTTGGTCCCTTATGAAAGCTGAGCTCTGAGTGCCTAGTGGCCTTAGCCACTGCGACAAGAATAGAAACTTCTAGATTAAAGAGTCCATCTTTCCCCATGCGTTCCCACAACCCAGGGAAGTGAATTCTAGTGACAAACCAGGAAGAAGAGGTGTTAGAGACCCTGTTGGGGGGACTTGAAGGACAGCCCACCCACCACCCACCAGGAAGGCAGCAGGTCCAGGTGCTGTGTCTCTCGCCTGCTCAGGGTGGAGGCCTGAGAAGTTGCACTGCCCAGTGGTCGACATTGTCCAGCAGATGACCCACAGTTGTAGCAATCACAGTGGGGCTGCCGGCACCTGCATGTCATTCTCCTAGTGTCTTCCCTCTTCTTGTCTTTTTTTTTCTAAAGATTTATTTATTTTTATTACAAAGTCAAATATACAGAGAGGAGGAGAGACAGAGAGGAAGATCTTCTGTCCGATGATTCACTCCCCCAGCAGCCGCAATGGCTGGTGCTGCACCGATCTGAAGCTGGGAACCAGGAACCTCCTCCAGGACTCTCACGTGGGTGCAGGGTCCCAAGGCTTTGGGCCGTCCTTGACTGCTTTCCCAGGCCACAGGGAGCTGGTTGGGAAGCATGGCTGGCAGGATTAGAACCGGTGCCCATATGGGATTCCAGAACATGCAAGGTAAGGACTTTAGTTCCTAGGCTACTGTGCTGGACCCATCTATCAGCTGGCTCCCTGGCTGCCCAGCCCAGACACTCTTTGTATGTGTTGTGTCCATGCCCTGGTCCCGGCCCCTGCCAGTCATCGTCCCGGAGACACCTGACCTCTCCCACTCAAAGCCACATGCCCTGTCACCTCCCTTTGTATTTCACGCCTTCTCCACAGACACATCGCTGTCCCATCAGGGTCTTCAGTGCAGGTCATGGACTGTATGGTGGGAGTTCCCTGAGTCAGGAGCTACTCCTGTTCACTTCACAAATGTGTCCCGGTTAGTTAGACCAGAGGGTGCACACACGAGGTCCGTAGGCTGGGCAGGGGCTGGGCAGCTCTGTGTCTGTGCCCCTGGGGTCTTAGCTGCCCCTGCTGACCCCATGGGCACTCTGGAGCCAGGTGGCCTTTTAGGGACGGGCTGACAGCTGAACGTCTTCATACCCAGGATTAATCAGCCATGGCGGCCTAAATGGAAGCCCTGGTCAGGGCAGTTGGCAGCTAAGATGACCATGACTGACCCCTGGAGGCTCTGGGACTGATGCTGTTGGATTGGGAGCCCAGCAGGCAGGCCACCCAGCTGGGCATCAGGGGCTGGGCTTGTGGTTGGCCAGGCCTGCACCCTGCCCCTGGGAGAACCAACCCTTCCCCTGGACGCACACCCTTCCTCACAGCTCTGCCTCCCCAGGGCTGAGCCCGCTCTCTCGCGGATCCAGGAAGATCGGCGTCGTGTCATCCTGCCTGCCATCGACAACATCAAGTTCAACACCTTCGAGGTGCAGCAGTATGCAAACGCCGCCCACGGCTACAACTGGGGGCTCTGGTGTATGTACATCACCCCTCCCCAGGACTGGCTGGACCGCGCTGACGAGGCGGCACCCATCAGGTGAGCCACGTGATGAGATGCCTGTGAGCAGCAGGGGATTGCAGTAGGGAGGGGGCAGAGAAAGGAGCCAGGACTGTGGTGCAGTGAGGGGACAGTGGGAGGGACAGAGGCCGTGGCAGACGAGGCTGGAGGAGGCCGAGGTGGGTGTGCCGAGGCTGGTGACAACCCTATACCCAACTGGGCGCCCAGGTGACCTGGGAGGTAAGTGGCAGGGCAGGTGTGGGGACTACAGCTTATGTCGCTGCGAGCACAGGTGGGTCCTGGGGCTTAGTGAGGCCAGAGCTGATTTTAGGGTCACACCCCTTATGGGCCTTCCCGCATGCGTGGTTAGCAGTGAAACGGAGGCCTGTGCTCGGTACTTGGGAGTTATTGAAATCAGGGGTCCCGGTGAGGGGTAGGCAGTGGGTACCCTCCCTGCTGGCCTGGCCAAGCCTTGTGGGGCAGCATCCCGAGCTCTTCCTCGCAGTGTGACCTGTAGAGCTGACCCCAACACCATGAGCACAGTGAAACAGAGCCGTGACCTGAATGGACCCCATACAGAATACACCACACGTCAGCATCTGGAGCTCCAAGGAGGGCCAACCCGAGACCCACCTGTTAGTACCCCGACCCACACCGAGACCGAGACCCGCCTGTTAGCACCCTGACCCTCAGCAAGACTGAGACCTGCCTGTAGCACCCTGACCCTCACCAAGACCGAGACCCGCCTGTTAGCACCCCCGACCCTCACATGCAGCTGACAGGCACTGAGTTCTGGGAGTGTTCATGACAAACTGACACACGGACGCCCCTGGGTGGAGATGACGGGGCATTGGCTGTGGGAGCTCGTGGTTTGTCATACAGTGCAAATGCTTCCTGTCTGAGCCACCCGGCCCACTACTAGGCATGTTCCAAAATGCGTGAAAAGCAAAGGCCATTCACTGGACACAGGGGCCACAGCAGTACTGCTCACAGTGAGCCCCCTCCTGGCAACAATTCTTACAGTTTTTAGAAGTTTTATTTATCTGAAAGATGGATGAGCAAGTCCTCTCGTCGGTGCCTCATTCCCCTAGTGCCTCAGTGAGCAAGGCTGGATCTGGTGGGAGCTGCATGTTCACTCAGGCCCTCTGCTGTGAGTGGGAGGAACTGAGTGACTCGTTGGTCACGGTCCCCTCAAGGGTGTGCTTTAGCAGGAGCTGCAGTCAGGAGCCAGAGCAGGGAACAAACCCAGGCATCTTCATGTGGTATGTGGGTGCTTTAGCTGATGTCTTTTTTTTTTTTTTCAAGATTTATTTTTATTGGAAAGTCAGATACACAGAGAGGAAGATCTGTCTGCTGATGCACTCCCCAAGTGGCCACAACTGCCACAGCTGAGCGATCCGAAGCCAGGAGCCTTTTCTGGGTCTCCCATGTGGGTGTAGAGTCTCAAGGCTTTGGGTCGTCCTTGACTGCTTTCCCAGGCTACAAGCAGGGAGCTGGATGGGAAGTGGAGCTGCTGGAACTAGAACTGGCTCCCATATGGGATCCTGGAGTGTTCAAGGCGAGGACTTTAGCCCCTAGGTTACCACGCTGAGCCCCCATAGCCAACTTCCTTTTTTTTTTTTTTAAGATTTATTTATTTTTATTGCAAAGTCAGATATACAGAGAACAGGTGAGACAGAGAGGAAGATCTTCCGTCCAATGATTCACTCCCCAAGTGAGTGCAATGGCCGGTGCTGAGCCAGTGCTGAGCCAGGAGCCAGGAATTTCCTCCAGGTCTCCCACACGGGTGCAGGATCCCAAGGCCTTGGGGTGTCCTCGACTGCTTTCCTAGGCCACAAGCAGGGAGCTGGATGGGAAGTGGAGCTGCCGGGACTAGAACTGGCTCCCATATGGGATCCCGGAGTGTTCAAGGCGAGGACTTTAGCCCCTAGGTTACCACGCTGAGCCCCCATAGCCAACTTCCTTTGATTCACTCCCCAAGTGAGCACAATGGCCGGTGCTGAGCCAGTCCTGAGCCAGGAGCCAGGAACTTCCTCCAGGTCTCCCACACGGGTGCAGGATCCCAAGGCCTTGGGGTGTCCTCGACTGCTTTCCCAGGCCACAAGCAGGGAGCTGGATGGGAAGTGGAGCTGCCGGGACTAGAACTGGCTCCCATATGGGATCCCGGAGTATTCAAGGTGAGGACTTTAGCTGCTAGGCCAACGTGTTGGGCCCCATGATTGACTTTCATCACCACCCATCGCTCAGAAGAAGTGGGGAGGAGTTATCCAAGGACTGCTGACGTCTCTAGCAGGACTTAGCCCCCCACAGAGGGATATTCCTGTGGGACCCTTACAAATCCTCAGTAGAGCTTTCCATGGGGAAGAAGCCAGGGGGTGAGGAAGACAGGGACACTGCCAGCAGCCACGGGGTATCCTGAGTCTACAGATCACTCCACTGGAGCATTCAGAAGGCGGGTGGCCCTGCCCGGACAGGACTTTCTGAACCATGAGAGAAACTTCCCTTGTTCTCAAACCATTCAGGTGAGCCACAAGACACTGAGGGACTAGGTAGCCAACAGAACAAGTACCCAGCACTTGCCCATGACGGAGCCTGGACAGGGTGAAGAGATGTCATCTGTGCTTGGCAGATGCCAGTGTGAGTGGCCGGGCAACCCCTTGGTGGGCAGGAAGTCAAGAGCAGCCACTTGGAGGGGCTGGTGACCGCTCTGAAGAGAACCCAGGCAACATAGAACTGGCAGTAGGGCCAGCGCCCCTGATTGCTGCCCTTTCCAAGCACAGGGGCCAGGTGAGAGCCACTGCAGCTTTCTGCGACCATGCTGGCTGATAACCATCTGGAAAGCACCGCAAATCGGATGTGCTGGTCACTGAGGGAGAGGAGACGCAGCAGGGCGCGGAGGCCTCCAGGTGTGCGCCCGTCCAGCCCTGCTCAGCGGCTTCATGACCCAGGAATTTGTTTCCCTGGAAGAGGCAGAGTGGAGACAAGAGACTGAGAAAGTCAAGAAGAATGAGAGAACATCTGTGCATCCCATGTCCAACTTGAAACACAAACCCTCTCCAGCCCTGGACTTTACATGGCTGATGAAAAGAAATTCCAGCCACATTGGAGGCTGGAGGAAGAGCAGGGTCTGACAGACGTCACATCCCTGTCACTGGAGGGTCAGGAGGGAGACTTACCACTCCTCACCCTGGAGGATGGAAGAAACAGGGTCCCACATGGAAGAGAAGGGGTTCCAATACATCACCACTGATGTAATTTCCATCACAGTTGGATGAGGTGTCAAGGCAGGATGAGGAGTGACTGAGAATACTGATAGATGGGTCCAGCACAGTAGCCTAGGAACTAAAGTCCTTACCTTGCACGTACTGGGATCCCATATGGGCACCGGTTTTAATCCTGGCAGTCACACTTCCCATCCAGCTCCCTGTGGCCTGGGAAAGCAGTCAAGGACGGCCCAAGGCCTTGGGACCCTGCACCCACGTGGGAGACCCAGAAGGGGCTCCTGGCTTTGGATAGGCTCAGCTCTGGCCATTGTGACCACTTGGGGAATGACCCAGTGGACGGATCTTCCTCTCTGTCTCCTCCTCTCTGTATATCTGAGTTTCTAGTGAAATTAAATCTTAAAAAAAAAAAAAAAAAAGATCACTGCAAGGCACCGGCTAAGGTATTAATAGGTAACATTTCAGCTTGGATTGATCTGCAACTCCAGTTTTTTTGCTAGAGGTCTGTTTCTTTGCCTTCCCACTCCCTAGCATGCTTGTCTTTCTGTGCCCGTGGCTGCAGCTGGCATGGCCATCGGGCTGGGGTCATGCCGAATCTTCCCTGTGGCCCTCTCAGTAGGATCCTACTAGGCCACGTGAAAAACAGAAGGGGACTCATTGAAGAAAACCCATAGTTGAGATTAGCATAGGGGCACATGGGTGGCCTCCTGCTGTAACACCCATCCTCTGAGGTGTGAGGGACATGGTGTCCTGCGGGGCCTGCTGGATGCTCAGAAGAACCGAGCTGCGGGTGACCACAGAGGCAGCTCTGGGTGCTGCCACTGGTGCTGTCACAGGCCTTTTGCTTCTCAGTGACTGTGGTAGTTGCTGTTATCTGCGGAGGCAGAAGCAGCTGATGGCCCTGGATGACACCCACAAACCTGTGCTAGTGTGTGGACGCCAGCAGCCGGGAGCTTCACGGGCTCGCCCCTTGCAGAGCTGCAGAGCCTCAGGCAGGGCACGCCCTGTGCGCCTTGGTGTCCAGCCCCTCTTCATGTCACGCTCTCAACTTCAGCCATTGTTTAGTGGACTACAACTTGCTTCATTGATGGATATTTGGGTTGATTCCACTTCTAGTATTTTTTTTTTTAGTATTTATTTATTTTTTATTGAAAAAGCAGATTTACAGACAGGAGACAGAAAAGGTCTCCCACATGGGTGCAGGGTCCCAAGGCTTTAGATCATCCTCCGCTTCTGTCTCAGGCTATGAGCAGGGAAGTGGACCAGAAGTGGAGTAGCTGGGACATGAGCTGGTGCCCATATTGGATGCCAGTTCTTGGAGGTAGAAGATTAGCCTGTTGAGCCATGGTGCTGGCCGTTACTCCTAGTTTTTATTAAAAAAAAAAATTGAAAAGCAGAATTACTGAGAGGAGAGAGAGATTTTCTGTCTACTTGTTCACTCCTCACTGACCCTGGCCAGAGGTAGGCTGGACCAAAGCCAGGGGTCAGGACCTTCATCCAGGTCTTCCACATGGGTGGCAGGGCCCAATACTTGAGCCATCTTCCATTGCTTTCTCTGGTGCAAGGTTCTGGGTCAGAAGTGGAGCAGCCAGGACACAAACAGGCATCTAAACGGGATACTGGTGTCAACAGGTGGAAGTGTAACTCACGGTGCTCCTTGACTGCCAACGTTAAAATAACCAGTATGACTCAGCAGATGGAAGATCTCCCTCTCTGTCTCTCCTCCTCTCTGTATATCTGACTTTCTAAAAATATATATATATATATTTATACAATATATAAGTATATATATTATATATGTATTAAATAAATCTTTAAAAAGGAAATAAAATAACCAGAATGGTTGGAGTGAAAACTCCAGAACACAAGAACTAGAGCCGGGAGGCGTTGTGGGGCAGGGTGCTCCCCTGCAGAGTCCCGGGCTCCTCCGTTCAGCAGGGATAACAGGGCGCCTGCTGCCTGCTGCCCCTGGACTCTGTCAGCAGTCGGCCGCTGCTGGCACCTTGTGAGTTTATTTTATTTGTGAACTCCAGGCAATAATGAAAAAATCATTCCCAGTCATGATAGGCTCGGCGGGGAGCTTGGCACTTCAGTTCATGAGAGGACACCCTGACATGATTATTGTTATTAAGAAAATGAAAGATTCACCTGTTGGCTGATACTGAGCTATAGCTTAACCAATCAAAGGCTTACTGTTAAAATATCAAAGACACTATTACCATCTGGTTGCCAGTTAGGTTTGCAACCAGAACTTAATGACAGAACAAAATGGGTCTTTGCAGAAATGAAAGGACAATTACTTTTTAATGCCCCTGTTGCTTGTGGGCAGCTGGTGGGCCCTGACTCCTGTGAGGACTGCGGGTCAATTTTGTTTTTGTTGAAGGGGGTTTCACACCGACAGGAGTAAAGAGGTCGCACTGTGCTTGCCACACGGCAGGAAAACCCCCCTGACAGGCTGCAAGACCTGTTCTGCAGGGTTTGCCCTCTCTCATTCTCATACCCCACTCGCTGCCCCGGTGGACAACTACTGTGTCCGGGTGATTGCCAGTCACGAGTACCCTCCTGCCTGCTGTAGTTTGCCACACGCAATAGCAGAAACACAACCAGTGTATTGGCTTGTGTGTTTAGGTACTGACGTTTTACACATAGATCTAAATAAAATTATGACAAATGAAGGCAAAGCCAGCAGCCGCTGCATGCACTACCCAGGCTGTGCACTTGGTCAGTCCAAGGATCACCACTCAGAGCCTGGGGTCAGCAGGCACAGCCCCATACCTGCCCCCTGCAGCCCTGACTGCTCGTTTCCAGACAGGACTGTGAAGGAGGTGGCAGTGACGGGCGAGGGGAATGATGTTAATGGCCACCACAGGGCTCTCCAGGTCACTTAGTTCCTTAATGCCCTGGGCTAGGCTGCCTGGGCTGAATGCTGCTCTGTGCCATGGCTTTGCCTGGCTCCAAGGGTGGAGCTCAGCGGTGGCAGGAACAGCCGTCTCAGGCCCAGGGCACAGCAACTGCAGCGGAGCCAGGAGGTGTGGTGTGAAGTCCAGTACCAGCCAGGCACCAGGGCCACCAAGAATGCTGTTTTATGTGGCTGTCTGCTGCCTCCAGGACCCCGGCCATGATTGGCTGCTCCTTCGTGGTGGACCGGCAGTACTTTGGGGACATTGGGCTGCTGGACCCTGGCATGGAGGTGTATGGTGGAGAGAACATCGAGCTGGGCATGAGGGTAAGTGGGACGGTAGTAGGGCTAGGGCTGGAGGGCAGGAGTGTGGGCAGTGAGGCTGTGGAGACGCTCACAGGGCTGGAGGGCAGGTGCCTGCCTAGAGACCCACGCTGTCCTGAGAGCTGTCTGTCAGCTATTGCAAAGGCTCCAAGTTGAGTCCGTGCGAGAAGCCTCTGGAACCAGGCACCTGGAACAGGCTGTCCATCAATCACAGGGGATAAGAAGGACGGCCCAGGCCCACTGTGGGCTGCTGACCAGGCAGCGTCCTGCCTGTGTCAGCTCACTCCATGGAGTTTGCACTGTGTCACTGTGGGATTTGGGCTAGGCCTGGAGAAAGGCTGCTGGCTTCTGATGTTCCCAGGGGCCCATGGCTATAGCTAGCTTGGCCTCAAGCAAGCTTAATTTTGGACGAGTGGTGGTGGAGGAGACTCAGTGCGCCCCTCGCTCCTGAGGTGCTTGCTAGGGGCGGAGAAAGGGAGAGGGTTGTGTCCACCATGGCAGCTGTCTGCTCTATGGGACTGCTGCCACATGAAGCCTGCTCAGCCTATTGCTGGTCCCAGGGTGCCCCTCCCCTCCACTGAGAACCAAATCTACCCTCCCCTGTGGCTGCAGGCGCCTTGCCCACTGGCCCTGCTCACCCCAAGAGCCACTCCTGCTCCCACTGTCAGGGCTGTGTGTCTGTCACCCACGCATGACTGGTGCCTGTAGCAGTGCACACAGTGTGTGACCCCAGAGCCAGTTGGAAAGGCAGTACAGGGTGGGAACGCCAGGGACTTGGGACCGCCATGGGTGCTGGGACTGAGCCAGGTACGGCGGACATGGAGGGTCACTCTGAACAGAGTGGGGGGATGACACAGGATGGAGTGGGGAAGGGGAGGACGGGGAGGGAGATCCTAGGAGTAAGTGGAGATAAAAGGGCTGGGGTCCAGTTACTGGGCACCAGGCCAGGGGGCAACTCATACTAAGGGCCTGAGGTGAGACTGGGCCTGCCAGATGGTGGCAGGACGCTGAGTAGCACGCGGCCTGGACACTGGCGGCCTCTCCTGCCTCCCGAATAACTCACTGTGCAGCCTGTCTGCTGGGCAGAGGGCAGCAGTCCTTGGGCTGCCACGTCCATGAGGGCTGACGAAGGTCACGGTGAGACCTGGTGCCTGACATCACTGTTTCTGTCAGAGTCTGCCTTAGACCATCTGGAGCCCAGCAATGATCCCTGTCCTGACTGGCCCCAGAGCAGGTGCTCGGTGGGTGGGGCATGGGAGCTGTCTGCAAGCAGATGAGGCTGGCACTGCCTAGACTGTCCAGCTCAATGCTCGGAGCTCAGTCTGGAGGGGTGTCTTGCACTGGGGCCCACCAGCTCAGCAAAGTGAGAAGGGTTGGTCACCATGGCTTGCTACTGCACTGGCACAGCAAGAGGTACAAACTCCATACAAAGTGACCAGTGGGCCAGGCTCCCTAAGCAGAGCAAAGGGGACCTGGGCAGAGAAGACTGTGTTGGGGTAGGCAAACTCAAGGCCTGATGGGAGAGGCAGAGAGGGTCAAGGCCTGCCCTTGCTTTGTCTGTGACATTCCCACCGTGGAGGCAGGTGCATTCAGGACGGGGCCAGGGGCATGTGTGCAGGAGGGACTAGGTGGCAGCAAGGGTCCCACCTTCTCACTGTCCTCCCCAGGGGTGGGTGTGTGTGTCAGGGGAATCCCAGCCTCTCACTGTCCTCCCTAGGGGTGTCTGTATGTGTGTCTGCCAGCCCCTTACCGTCCTCCCCAGGTGTGGCTGTGTGTGTCTCCCAGCCTCTCACCATCTCCCCAGGTGTGGCTGTGTGTGTCTCCCAGCCTCTCACCATCTCCCCAGGTGTGGCTGTGTGTGTCTCCCAGCCTCTCACCATCTCCCCAGGTGTGGCTGTGTGTGTCTCCCAGCCCCTTTCTGTCCTCCCCAGGTGTGGCTGTGTGTGTCTCTCAGCCCCTTTCTGTCCTCCCCAGGTGTGGCTGTGTGTGTCTCCCAGCCCCTTTCTGTCCTCCCCAGGTGTGGCTGTGTGTGTCTCCCAGCCTCTCACCATCTCCCCAGGTGTGGCTGTGTGTGTCTCCCAGCCCCTCACCATCTCCCCCCAGGTGTGGCTGTGTGTGTATATCTCTCCCAGCCTCTCACCATCTCCCCAGGTGTGGCAGTGTGGTGGCAGCATGGAAGTGCTGCCTTGTTCCCGCGTGGCCCACATTGAGCGCAGCAGAAAACCGTACAACAATGACATCGATTACTATGCCAAGCGCAATGCCTTGCGCGCAGCCGAGGTGTGGATGGACGACTTCAAGTCACACGTGTACATGGCCTGGAACATTCCCGTGACGGTCAGTGACGCCGGGGGCTGGGAGGTGTGGGCGCCCTCATCCCAGGGAGGGCGCTTGGGAATGTGACCAGAGCTACGCATGTGAGGCCACTGGGGAAGATCATGTGACAATTTGCTTGATGGTCACTTAAAAAAAAAAGATATATTTATTTTTATTGCAAAGTCAGATATACAGAGAGAAAGAGAGACAGAGAGGGAAATCTTCCATCTGCTGAGTCACTCCCCAAGTGACTGCAATGGCCGGTGCTGTGCCGATCCGAAGCCAGAAGCCAGGAGCTTCTTCCGGGTCTCCCTCACAGGTGCAGGGTTCCAAGGCTTTGGGCCATCCTCGACTGCTTTTCCAGGCCACAAGCAGGGAGCTGGGTGGGAAGCGGGGCTGCTGGGACATGAATCGGTGCCCATATGGGATCCTGGCACTTGCAAGGCGAGGACTTTAGTTGGTAGACCACCGAGCTGGGCCTGATAGTCACTTTTCCCAGGCAGGTAGGGAGGAGGCCTCTGGGAAATGATTGGGCCTGCCCTCCAGTCTGGCTCCCGAGTCCTCCATGTGCAGACCCTGGGTCTCAGCCACCCGCTGTCTCTCCACTGGGTACATTCAGGACTCAGAGTCCCCAGAGGCAGGCAGGGGCATGCTCCTGTCCCTGGGACGTGGCAGCTGCCCCCACTGGGTTGGAGCTCACGGGGCCCCACTGCCACCAGTGGGATCGTGGTACTGAGGTTGCCAGGATGTGGGTGCTTGTTGGCATGAGGGTTCTTCCAGTGCCTACAGACCCTGCCAGCAGCCTTAGCATCTTATGGCACAACTAGCAGAGCTTGCCTAATGACCCTGTTGTGTCTGTGCCCACAGATGGGAAAGCTGAAGCCCAGAGGGCCCTGACCACCCACACAGGGACCCACAGCAGGTGGCAGAGCTCACCACAGTGAAGGTCCCCAAGGCTGGGAGTACTTGCTTGCTGCACAGGCGCCCACACTGTCCACACAGCTGCTGCGTGTCCCCACTGTTTCTGTGCAGAGCTAAAAAAAAAAAAAAACAACTAATTTATTTTTGAAAACTAGAGTCACACACAGAAAGAGGGACAGAGGGAGAGAGAATCTTCCACCTACTGGCTCACTCCCCAGATGGCTGCAATGGCCATGGCAAAGCCAGGAGCTTCATCTGGGTGTCCTACATGGGTGCAGAGGCTGGGACACCAACCATTTTCTGCAGCTTTCCCGGGAGTGTGGGCAGACAGTGGAATTGGAAGTGAAGTAGCCAGGACTTGAACCTGTGCCTGTGTGGGATGTTGGTGTTCCAGGTGGTTGCTTTACCTGCCATGCCACAGCGCTAGCTCCCTGCCACCTTCTGTTGAGGGGTCAAGGTTTGGGCCCCACAACCCTAACAGGTAGGGCCAGGGGAGGCCACCCCAGAGACCCCTGACCACAGGCCATTGAGGACCACTGTGTTGGCCCTGCATAGATCTCAGCTCTGATGCATCACACACCATTGCGTGTTGCGGCACGCAGGCTGTATTCAAGGGGCTACCAGAACAGCGCTGTGCCCTGACTGCCCTGATTCTCCTTGCAACTGCTTCACGGCCAGTGCTGGGCATCAGGGCCTGGAGGGCTGGGCCGGACCACCTGTTCTTGCCTTGCTTGCATTGAGGGTGGACACAGCCTGACAATTTGCTCTGGTTGCTGTGAGAGTGTGTGGCAGTGGGGGATGTGTTCTGGGGTGCAGGGTCCTGGCCTTAGGCAAGCTGGGTGTCGCTGTGCATCCCGTGATCCACACGGTGGCCCTGAGCTCCTACTGTGGCCATCCCCGCTTTGAAGGTTCAAGATGTGGGCAGAGACGCAGGGACTGCTCCAAGGCTGTAGCCAGGTGGTACAGTTCAGTGCTTCCAGCACTGGCCTGAGCCACCCTGGCTCCCTGAGACTACTGTGCAACTTTGTGGTTGGAGTCCAGTGACAGGCACAGGCTCATCCAGCAGGGTGCAAACAGGCTGGCTGGCCCAGGAGAGGCCAGGCCCCAGCTTCCCATGATGCCGTCCTAGGGGCCATGGGTGGGCCTGGGTCCCCCAGCTCACGTGTGACCATGTGTGGGGCCTCAGGTCTGGGGTGTGGGTGACCTCAGTTTCCAAGCAACCACCCAAAATCTAGCTAGCTGGTGAGCCAGAACCCTGCCCAGGCAGGAAGTTGCATCCTTAGCAGCCACCTCCCAGGAGCTGGGCGTTCCGGGCTCCCGGAGAACAGGCATGCTGGAGCCCTGTGGGACTGCTCCTGGGAAGACCTGCCTTGTGAGGACAGGGAAAGCTCGTGTGTCCTCCATCCACTCTGCCTTGCAGAACCCAGGGGTGGACTTCGGGGACGTGTCCGAGAGGCTGGCCCTGCGCCAGAGGCTGAAATGCCGCAGCTTCCAGTGGTACCTGGAGAACGTGTACCCTGAGATGAGAGTCTACAGCGACACACTGGCCTATGGAGAGGTACGCCTCTGCTGGTGTGTGTCACACGCGCCCTGCGCTGACACACACCAAGTACACATGGGTGGACACATAGGCATACACAAACTGCCCGGTGCAGGCGCCTCCATCACTGCACAGCCATGCACGTGTACAGATGCTTCTTACACATGCCCTGCCACTCACGGACAAATGCATCCACAAGCGTGCAGCCACACGTACGCACGTGAGGCACACTGTTCGAGTGCACGTGTGCACAGAAGTGTGACTCATGCAGTTTTCCTCGTGTGGTTCATTTTCACTCAGAGGGGCCTATGAACAGACAACTCAATGATCATCCTGCCAAGACGGCATGCGCACACATGTACCCACATGTTTATGTTAGGGTGCATGCATGCGTGTATGGACTTACACACGTTTATACACGCATAGTCAGACGTGTGTTCATGCAGTCACCTGCACACCCCCACATGCGGCTGGTCATTCCTGGAGCTTCCCTGGGCCTTCAGTATGCAGCAGGGCAGGGCAGCTCCACTTCCCTCAGCTCACCGTCATGGAGGGCCCAGGCTTCTCAGCGTGCTCAGGAAGGGATGGGGGAGGGGGCCTGGGAGGACAGTCCCCACTGACCCACACAGCTTTCAGGGGGCACCGAATGTGCCAGCACATGGCTCCATGTTCCCAGGGACGAAGCCCCATGCTCCCACAGGCCCAGCACCCAGAGCCCCCAGGTCCTGTCCCTTGCAGCAGCTGCAGAGCAGCCCCCTGTGGCCTCAGCCCCAAGGTCCCTCGATGACCGATGACCGGCAGCTCCTTGGCAGGTACGCAACAGCAAAGCCAGTGGCTACTGCCTGGACCAGGGCTCGGAGGACGACGACCAGGCCATCCTGTACCCCTGCCACGGGATGTCCTCCCAGGTAGGCACCTGGGACAGCTGGGGGTCCTGCCCCACCTACCAGGGGGTTGGCACGAGGCTGAGGGTCAGATTGCCCTGCTTACAACAGGCTTACAGTCTGGCCTATGTGCCCTTGAAGTTAGTCCATGGCCTGCCAGGGAAGGCTGGGCCAGGGTGGGCGGTAGCACACACAGGTGCCTGTCCTGCTCATGGTGCCTGGTGGTCCCCTCAGCTGGTGCGGTATAGCAGGGATGGCCTCCTGCAGCTCGGGCCCCTGGGCTCCACCGCCTTCCTACCGGACTCCAAGTGTCTGGTGGACGAGGGCAGGGGCCGTAGTCCTGCCCTGAAGAAGTGTGAGAATGTGGCCCGACCCACCCAGCGGCTGTGGGACTTTATCCAGGTAAGGGGCCTCTGCTGGCTGTGGGTGGGGCTGGGGGCGGGGCCTGGGCCAGCTGCTGCTTGCAGCCTTTGCGGAAGGGGCAGTCGTTGTCATTTGTTGGGCAAATAAGGCTCCTGAGGCAGAGGCTGGATCTGGCTGAGTTTAGCTGGGCAACAGAAGCCAGCAAAGGCTGTTGAGCTGCCAGGCCAGTGCCGTCGAGGCTTGGGGACCCAAGGAGGCCAGGGCAGCTTGAGGGCAGAATGGTCTCACACAGCCCCGTCTAGCATTCCTGGCACCTTCCTGGACCCCAGAAGCGGAGAGCAGGGCAACTGGCGGACGCCAGGATGAAGCAGAGCCAAGCTGACCGTCTACCTGCCCCCCGCCCAGGGCAGCCCCATTGTGAGCCGGGACACGGGCCGCTGCCTAGAGGTGGAGATGTCCGGAGAAGCCAACTTCGGGCTGCGGCTGGTGGTGCAGAGGTGTTCAGGTCAGAAGTGGACGATCAGGAATTGGGTCACAAATCCGCAGCCCTGAACCTCCCAGCCCCCTGGGCTGCAGCCCTGGCTGTGACCCCCCCCACGCCCTCAGGCTGGCCCCTGCAGAGGCCCGGGAGCCCCGGTCCCACCATGTGCCTTTCCACGAGGCTGCCCCTCCCCCGCATGTGCCAACCCCAGCTGTCACACCCAAGGGCAGGCCGCCCTGCCTGAGGCCAGGGGCTCTGCGACTGGACAGCCCTCCTCTGCTTGACCTCTCACTTCTGGCAACCCAGGCAGCACCCAGAGCAGCCGCTGATGTCCCAGCACAAGTGGAGGGAGCCATACCAAGGTGGATTGGATGGAGGGTGCCAACTGGCAGCCAGCCTCCTGCCACCTGCCCAGCTCCTGCTCCTCTGGCCCATTTTTATAAATAAAATTTTATTGGCACACAGCCAGCACCCTGATCTCTGCTGCTCTAAGTCAGGACACTGCTCTCCTGGTGGCCTGAGCCAGCCACAAACCCTGATTTGCGTGTGCACTTAGATGGCATTGCCATCACAGGACAGAATGAGAAAACCCTGTTTACCTGGCCTGTTGGGGAGCTGTTGGGAGCAGTGGTGCAGCTTGGTGAAGTGAAGGCCCAAGGCTCCCTAGGCAACTGGGGCTTAGGCATCTAAGTTCCTGGGAGAATCAGGAACTTAGGCTCAGTGAGAACTGCTGAGGCTCCTGGCTCTGGGGCATAGGGGTTCCCGTGGGGAGTCCCGATGGCTTATGAGGTATACTTTCCTCACTGCTGGTCCTAAACCCTCTCAACCTATGACCTTTGCCCCAGGTGGTGGCTGCCATGCTGAGGGGGGTTAGCCTGTGACAGCCAGATCTGGGTGTGCCACATTGCCTGGCACAGGCACTGATGTGGCCAGTGCCAAGGCCCAGGGCACGCGCAGTCCATCTCAGGGGCACCTCTTTCCTCACATAGTGTTTGACATGAACCTCACAAAGGAACCTTCGGAGGTGGGAGGTGCCCAAGGGACACAGGTGGGCCGAGGAAGTGCAGCCCAGGCTCTGTTAATATCACAGTCCCTACCTGAGCTGTGGTGGCTGCTGGCCATGCTGCCCGCCCCCAGGACTCAGATTCTACAGCAAGCATCCCTGCAGGGTGTGGCCAGATGAGCACAAACGCAGCTGCATGCCTCCCCTGGCTCCTCCCCTTTACCAAGGCGGAAGGGGAAGGGGACTCAACTCCCCCACACATCACACTGAGTTGGAGTTCAACCTGTTGCTGCATGGGTTGGGGGCCAAATCTCTTGGCCAGCCCCAGGCCCCTGTGACCCCAAGACCCCCAGGCTGTAGAGAGGGCAGAGGGTCTCTCTTGCCCCCAGACAAGCCCAGGAAGGAGCCACGCTTGTCTACAGAAGTGTTTATTCAGGCAGCAGAGGGCCAGGGTCAGCTGAGTGCAAACAGCTGGGCACAGAGGCTGTCGGGTCGGCCAAGCAGGCCCTGGGCTGGTACAAACTCCAACGGCAGTGGCACCGGCTCCTCCTTCTTCAGGTCACTCTCGAAGATCTGCAGGGGATGAGAGTGGTGGTCCTGGAATCTGCCTGCCCCGTCCATGGGGTCTCCTCCAGGCTTTACTCACCTCGTAAGCCGTGAGTTCCAGGAGTGGAGCAATGCTGACCTCTGGGATGGTCAGCTCCTGATTGATGGCACGGGCAGCTCTGGACACCTCTGGGTGGTAGTGCTGCTGGAGAGCCTGGGGGCACAAGGGGACCCAGCCACAGCTCAGCACACACAGGGGCCTGGACGCAGGCTCTGCACACACAAGGACCCAGCCACAGCTCAGGACATGGCTGTGTTCCTGACCACACTGGGGGCAGGGGAGGGGAAGGATGGGTAGATGTGTCCTGTCACCTGCAGCTCCCACAGAGAGCTCTCCAGGGCTCGGCTCTTGGCCGGGTCCTCCTCCTTGGGGTCATAGGGATCTGCGTCCAGCTCCGGGCCGCGAGGACGGTGCACCAGGACGCGGCAGGCTGGGTGTCTGCGCAGCAGGTTGCAGATGAAGGGCAGGACCATCAGCAAGGCTTCAGGAGGCGCAGTCACAGCCAGGTGAGACAGGCGTTTGGCGAAGGCAGCTACCAGGTAGGCGGGCAGGTGGCTGGACAGGGCAGTGGGTGTCAGGCCCTGGCCAGCCCTGCCACGTTCCTCCCTGCCCAAGACCATCACCCCTGGCTCACGAGGAGGACAAGAAGAGGTCAACCAGGTGGAAGAAACGGGCTCGGTACTTGACGTGGAAGATGGAGGGCTCCAGGAGGCTGTAGAGCTTCCTGTAGAAGTCGGGGTACTCCCTGGGGAAGGCAGAGGGATGAGATGCTGAGGGTGTGGGCCCGACTCTGGTCCCCACCCAGCAACCCCCAGAGCACTCACAGGTTGTGTTTATGCATCAGGACGAAGAGCCCGTTCAAGGCCAGGAGACTGACAGCGCCCCCTGCAGACGGACACACAGACCTGCACCACACCTACCCTCCCTCCCACCACACAGGCTGGGCAGTGTGGATGGCAAACACTGGGTGTTGGGGGCACACGAGCAGGGAGATCCCACCTGTCAGGGCTGCCCCACCCACCCAGCTGGGAGCCAGCCTCACCGACGTCGTAGGCGCTGGTGAGGAAGTCGAGCATGAGGGTGGGCTGGGCCAGGTGGGGCAGGATGTGGTCATGCATGAGCACCAGCACCTTCTTGTAGAGGCCGATGGGCAGCTGCGTGGCCATTGGCAGGTCAGGGTGCAGCCCACCAACCTCACCCCCCTCCGACCTGGGACCTGGAGACTCACCTTGTGCTTGAGGAAGCCAAGCCACATGACCTGGAATGCTTTCCTGTGCTCCTGCAGTGGGGCAGGGCGGCACGCTGTCCTCCTCATCTGGGACCCAAGACCCAGGCCGCGCCCCCCCGCCCACACAGCAGGGGAATTCCAGCTCAGGACTGTCCCACAGGGATGTGCCCACCAGGCCCATGGGTACCCTCTGACCCTGGTGGCCTGTATGGAGGTGCAGGGGTGTGCCCAGCGGGGTCTCACCTTCAGGTGAGCCACTTTCCACTTGTCAGAGGACTCTGCTGGAAGGCAGGGCCGTGGTCAGCACCCGAGAGAGGCCGGGCCCAGCCCTCCCGCATGCCTCACTCACCTTCACGCTTCACGTAGAAGTTGAAGATGTGGCGCTCTTGGCAGGGCAGGCTCACGGCTGACAGCAGCATGAAGGCATTCTCCCAGAAGCTGGGGGGCACCTGCCGGAACCCAGCCTGAGCCCCAAAGCCACAGCCCTCCTCCCTGCCACCGGGATGGCTGGGACGAGCCGCTCACCTCCAGGTGCTGGTCGGTCACACGGGCCACGGTGTCGGCGGCTGCTTGCATTGTGTGGTAGCGGATGTCGTCGTATTCCAGATACTCCCGGAAGCACGAGAGGAGCAGGCTACGGTCGTCCTCAGGTGCGAGCAGGCCTGCCACCACCGACTAGGGCAGTGTCCTTGCTTAATACCAGAGCCCATATGGAAGACGCCTGGGGATCCCCCCCCCCACAGACCCACAGGGCCTCCTCACCTTGTAGACACCCGGGGACCCCCACAGACCCACAGGGCTGCCTCACCTTGAAGACACCCGGGGACCCCCATGGACCCACAGGGCCTCCTCACCTTGTAGACACCCGGGGACCCCCACAGACCCACAGGACCTCCTCACCTTGTAGACACCCGGGGACCCCCACAGACCCACAGGGCTGCCTCACCTTGTAGACACCCGGGGACCCCCACAGACCCACAGGGCTGCCTCACCTTGTAGACACCCGGGGACCCCCACAGACCCACAGGGCCTCCTCACCTTGAAGACACCCGGGGACCCCCATGGACCCACAGGACCTCCTCACCTTGTAGACACCCGGGGACCCCCATGGACCCACAGGGCTGCCTCACCTTGTAGACACCCGGGGACCCCCATGGACCCACAGGGCTGCCTCACCTTGTAGACACCCGGGGACCCCCACAGACCCACAGGGCTGCCTCACCTTGAAGACACCCGGGGACCCCCACAGACCCACAGGGCCTCCTCACCTTGAAGACACCCAGGGACCCCCATGGACCCACAGGGCCTCCTCACCTTGAAGACACCCGGGGACCCCCACAGACCCACAGGGCCTCCTCACCTTGAAGACACCCGGGGACCCCCATGGACCCACAGGGCTGCCTCACCTTGTAGACACCCGGGGACCCCCATGGACCCACAGGGCTGCCTCACCTTGTAGACACCCGGGGACCCCCACAGACCCACAGAACCTCCTCACCTTGAAGACACCCGGGGACCCCCACAGACCCACAGAACCTCCTCACCTTGAAGACACCCGGGGACCCCCACAGACCCACAGGGCCTCCTCACCTTGAAGACACCCGGGGACCCCCACAGACCCACAGGGCTGCCTCACCTTGTAGACACCCGGGGACCCCCACAGACCCACAGAACCTCCTCACCTTGAAGACACCCGGGGACCCCCACAGACCCACAGGGCTGCCTCACCTTGTAGACACCCGGGGACCCCCATGGACCCACAGGGCTGCCTCACCTTGAAGACACCCGGGGACCCCCACAGACCCACAGGGCCTCCTCACCTTGAAGACACCCGGGGACCCCCATGGACCCACAGGACCTCCTCACCTTGAAGACACCCGGGGACCCCCATGGACCCACAGGGCTGCCTCACCTTGAAGACACCCGGGGACCCCCATGGACCCACAGGACCTCCTCACCTTGAAGAGTTCCCGGGGGAACAAGTAGTTCCCCTCCCATTTGGGCCTCTCCAGGGGGTGTAGCCCTTCCAGCTGGATGAACTTCATGAGTGTGCCCAGGGCCAGCTCCTGGAGAGCAGGGGCGAGGCTGCAGCAGGTGCGTGAGGCAGGCTGCGCCCAAGCCAGTGTCACGCAGGAAGCAGGGAGAGCTGCTCCCACAAATGCTCCGAATGCTCTGGTACCACAGCAGATGTCCCGGTGTGGCAGGGGACCAAGGGCTTGAGCCCAGGTGTCCC